TGACGTTGTGACCATACCACCATGTGACTCTGTGACCTATAACAACATGTGACGTTGTGACCATACCACCATGTGACTCTGTGGCCTATGACAACATGTGACGCTGTGACCATACCACCTTGTCACCTACACAAATCACCATGCAATCCATACATCTATAATCCGATTTAAAGGTTACTGTAACTCTTTTCTCAGTCCTAAATCACAATGTCCCTAATCAGTTATCTAAATCTCTACTGATTTCAGAAACCCCAAATCACAATGTCACTCATTTCACATGACAACTAATTACGTCACTTACAGATTTTAGAAACCCACCGTCTACTTCGCAATGTGCAAAATTTCAGAAATCCAAACCCTAAATCTCTACTTATAGATTCCGAAATCGATATTTCAACTAAACAACAACCAAAATCCAACCGGAAGATGATGGTGGAGTTCATTTAACCTACCGTCTGTCCTTTTAACTCTGAAATTTGCTGACGATCCTCATTTTCGGAGGAAGAAGATGATGAAGACGACTGTACCGAAGATTCTACAACCATTTTCTTCCCTTTCGTCATGTCTTCCACAAATCTCGACTCGAATCTAGCCGCAAACAGAAATTTCGACACAGAGAGAAGAAGAGGAGAAACCGAAATTGGCTCAGGCGAAAATGCAGAACAAATCGGAGGTTTTAGAGAGAGAGTTGAGTTAGAGGTCTTTTGCCTTTAGAGAGAGAGAGTTAATTTCGAAACTGAAGAAAACGTGGGAGAGAGAGTGTGGCATGCCAAGGGTAACGCTGTCTTTCCATTTAATTTCATGGTTTTTTTGTCTTTTTGTTTTGTTCAGTAATTTTTTTTTTCGAGGGTAAGCTCAGAAATATATGTAGCGGTCAAAGGGTATAACGGATATATTGCCGTTTCGAAGTTATCTGAAAGTCAACAATTAATTGCCATAAGATTTGCCCACCCAGAAGAAAACAGAAACAAACAGGTTGATGGAAAAAACAGAAATATCAGACAAAACACGTGAATGTGTATAACCAAATTGAGATACCCTAAAACCAAATTGTTAAAATCATACTTTGCATGGCATCTAGTTCAAAGTAAGAGAGGTTAAGGACAAACAATTTTGAAAGAAGAAAACTTAATTCGACAAAAAAACTGTACTTTGCACTAACACATTCTATAAAAACAAAGCAATAATGCAATCTTTAATACTCTCCATATAAAAAACTAGGTGCATAAATAAAGTATTTGTTAGCTTTTTTGAATATGAACTTGGACATCAGGTTGAAAACAGGATTCTTCGAAATGGCAATAGCTGCCTGATTGTCCACATTGATCTGAGTTGGAATCCTTGGAGTGAAACCCAAATCACACAGAATGTTTCTGAGCCAATTTGCTTGGTTTGCTGCTGCAGTTGTGGCAATGAATTCCGCCTCTGCAGTTGACTGAGCCACCACCTCCTGCTTCTTAGAGCTCCACGAAAAACAGTTTGAACCAAGCATGAAACAGAAACCAGAGGTACTCTTCATGTCTTGAGTTGAACCAGCACAATCACTATCAGCAAACCCAACCAAATCGGCTTCAAAATCCGACTTAAACAGAACACCATAATCAAGTGTTCCCTTCAAATATCTCAACACCCTTTTAGCTGCCACCAAATGACTCCTTAGATTATTCAGAAACCTTGAAAGTACATTAACAGTAAACAACACATCTGGTCTAGATGTTGTTAAGTACATCAGACATCCAATCAAGCTTCGATAGTTCCTTTCATCAACCTCTTCTTATGTTTCTTCAATCACTAACTTCTCCTTCATGTTCATGGGTGTTCTCACACTCTTACAGCCATTAAACTTGAACTTCTTCAATATTTCAGAGAGATACTTCCTCTGGCAGAGAAAAGTCTCCCCTTTACTCTGATTTATCTCAATTCCCAGAAAGAAAGATACTTGACCAAGATCAGACATCTCAAACAAGTTCATCAGCTCCTTTTCACTTTCTCAATCTCTTGAACACAAGAACCTGTAACTAACAGATCATCTACATAAAGTGAGATGACTGTAGTAAAGAAGCTCACTCCTGGAGCATAAACACCACCACTGGTATTTTGAGATGCTCCTTCAACAAGTAATGAGCTGAGAGTCGGAGGCAACTATGACTGTGAGATTCATGTTGAGTGCGACATTTACAACAACTGCAACGATAATGATGAGAACAGTGACATTAACAGTGAGCTGAAATTGGATAAATCTTTGAATGTTTGTGTATACAGACATTAGTGTTGGAGAAGAGACCTTGACACACACTTGAATGATTTTGGACGTACGTAAATGCTGGAGAAAGACACTGATAAACCCTTCCGGATTTACAGGAGGAGGAATAGGCGGAAGAGGAGAGATATCAAGGATGGAGAACAAACAAAATATCGCAACGAGAGAGAGGAAGCAAAAGAAGATATTGCTGATGATGTGGCAACAACTGGTGGGAACGAGGGAACATTCCCGAGCACAACAATTGAGACTTAGGGGCAATTCTGTTACCTTGCATGAGTATGTTCGGGGATTTGCATAGGATATTTTAGTTAGGACAGCTCAACAATTTGTTGCTACTTGAGTCTTTATTTAAACTACGTAGCTTTTTCTTAGGGTTTTTTATGCTGTTTTTCATCTTGAGTTTGGGATTGATAAAGGAGAGTCGTGTTCCTCTCTGTCATTGTTGTTTCTTTTGATTTATTTCCTTAATAAATCGATAATTCGAGTACAAAGGTCTATCAAAAGTGGTATCAGAGCAACTATTCGATCCAATCATGCCTCCCAGAGATAATCGCATTGAGCAGTTGGAAGAGTTTGTTACCACCAAGTTGGGCAGGTTTGAATCTGCCATGGGAGAGATGAGGGGCAGTTTTGATTCTACTTTGGGTGATATGCAAGGCGCAGTTTCGGTGATTCAAAAAGAGGTGGGTCGTATGCAAGTGTTGGAGAACATGATGCAGACACTACTGGACCAGTGAGAACCACTGTACAGATCGTCGTCGGTTATGCCGACAGGGGAACAGTCAACCTGTGCCCAGACTTTCCCTAACCCGATGGGCAAAGCTCCTGTCGATTTGCCAGGATCTTTTACGCACACAACACCGATGGCCATCGCCGCACAGTTTCCAGGGGTCATTTCGACGGAAGCACCATCGGGTGTGCAACAGCCGGGTAATGAGTTCACCTTAAGAAAAATTGAAATGCCGGTTTTTGAAGGTGAGAGCGTAGCCGGATGGATCGTGCGTGCTGAACGCTACTTTAGGTTTGGCGGCATCAGCGATCCAGACAAATTACGATATGCAACTCTTAGCATCGATGGCGAGGTGCTGCATTGGCACGAATGGCAGCACAGTAATCGACCATTCGTGGATTGGTGGGACTTCAAACAACGGTTATTAGAATGTTTTGACATGAGGATCTCAGGTTCGGCTAATGCAAGGTTGTTTGCTCTGAAACAACATGGCTCGGTTCTCGACTATCTGCGCAGTTTCGAAGAATCATTGGGCCAGCTTACTCACGTGTCCCCTGATGTTTTGGAAAGCGCTTTCAAAAATGGTCTGCGTTCTGATATTGGGAACACTGTGGAAATTCTGGATCCACAGGGACTTGATCGGACCATCGCTCTTGCCCTGAAGTTAGACAACAATCCCATCGAAAATTTGGGCGGTAAAAATGGGGATTTTCGCTCCACAAAGGCAGGTTTTTCTCAGTGAACAAATCAGTTCCGCACGATTTCGTTGCCAGCATCGGGTTCTGGTGGGCACAACGTTATGGGTGGACACGCAGATCTGAGGCAACTGGGCCTACTGCTTCCGGCCCAACTTCTGCGGGACCCGTTCCTCTTTCTTCACCATTGAAGTCCTCATCTATGCGTCGAATCTCTGATGTTGAGCTTGATGAGAAACGAAAGCGGGGCTTATGTTTCAGATGCGATGAGAGATATTATTTCGGGCATCGTTGTAAGGACCGAGAACTGCAGGTGATTTTAGTCAAAGAGGATGGCAAATTTTTGCTGCCGGAGGAAGGTGTTCCGACATCAGTGACGGAAAGTACCCATGAACCGACACAAATGGCAGAACTATCTCTCAACTCTGCCGTTGGAACCATGTCTCCGTCAACTCTGAAAGTCCAAGGCAAAATCCGAGGTCAAGAAGTGGTCGTGATGATTGATTGTGGAGCAACCCATAACTTCATCTCCCTCGATGTCTTAGCCAAGCTCCGTCTTCAACCTTTGTCAACGACGGGCTACAGCGTCTCACTTGGCACAGGCATCACTGTACGTACTGCAGGAATTTTTCGGGCGCTCCTATTGACGATGCACCACTTGGAGGTTTTGGCTGATTTTTTGCTGTTAGAATTAGGTAGCGCCGACGTTATTCTCGGTGTTCAATGGCTGAGAACTCTGGGCAACATTCAGATGAACTTCGACATATTAAAAATGCGGTTTAATGCCGGCACTACAACGGTGACTCTTAAGGGTGACCCTCACCTCCATAATTCGCTCGTGACGTTCAAATCACTTATCAAAGCAGTTCCAGCGAGTGAGGCGTGTTTCTGGTCGAGTTGAGCGCGTTATGTCCTGTTTCTGAAGTGGTCGAGGAGGTTCCAGGTCCGTTAACTCAGGTTTTGGGAGATTTTTCTCAGGTATTCGCTGATCCTACTGGTCTGCCACCATTCCGTGGTCGCGAGCATCCCATCGTTTTACGCCCCGACGCAGGCCCTGTCAGCGTTAGACCTTTCAGGTATCCTCATGCGCACAAGGAAGAAATAGAAAAATTGGTGAAAGAGATGTTACAGGTAGGAATTATTCAGCCAAGCACGAGTCCATTTTCCAGCCCAGTTTTGTTGGTCAAGAAGAAAGACGACAGTTGGCGTTTCTGCGTGGATTATCGGGCACTCAATCGAGTTACGGTACCTGACAAATTTCCGATTCCAATGATTGATCAACTTTTGAATGAACTTTTTGGTGCAACAGTTTTTTCTAAACTCGACCTACGCTCGGGATACCACCAAATCCGGATGAAGACCGAGGATGTTTACAAGATGGCCTTCCGTACTCATGATGGCCATTACGAGTTTCTCGTCATGCCATTTGGATTAACAAATGCTCCGGTGACTTTTCAGGCGATGATGAATGATATTTTTCGGCCATTTTTGAGACGCTTCGTCTTGGTGTTTTTTGATGAAATTTTGGTCTATAGAAGTACGCTGGAAGAACATCAGGAACATTTGCGGGAGGTTCTGGCTGTCTTGGCAAAGCATTAGCTATTTGCCAACAGGAAGAAATGTCAATTTGGACGTGATCATATTGAGTACTTGGGCCACATCATTACACGACATGGGGTGCAGACAGACCTGACAAAAACGCAAGCGATGCAGCAGTGGCCTTACCCAAAGACAATCAAGGAGTTGCGTGGATTTTTGGGGCTCACGGGTATTATCGGCGCTTTGTGCAGAATTACGGATTGATAGCTCGCCCTCTGACGGATCTTCTGAAGAAAGACGGTTTTATTTGGTCGGACCGCGCAGCTACTGCGTTCGATTCGCTTAAGGCAGCTATGCTTCAAGCGCCGGTCTTAATTCTCCTAGATTTCACGGATACTTTCGTGGTTGAGGCCGATGCATCCGGGTTCAGTATTGGGGCAGTGTTAATGCAAAAGAACAGACCCATTGCTTACTACAGTCATGGTATGTCCACTCGTGACCAGTTGAAGCCGGTTTACGAGAGGGAACTGATGGCAATCGTACTGGCAATTCAGAGGTGGCGTCACTACTTGTTGGGTCGCCGATTTGCTATGCATACGGATCAAAAAGCCTTGAAATATTTACTGAATCTACGCGCAATCAACCTTGACTACCAGAAATGGTTATCAAAGCTATTAGGATACGATTTTGAGATCATATACAAACCGGGTATCCAGAACAAGGCTGCTGACGGGTTGTCTCGCATTCCGCCTTCTACGGGTCTCACGTCGTCCCTAGCTGTTCTGTCGTCCTTGACAGTTCCCACTGCGATCCAAATGGAACTACTGCGAAGTTAAGTTGAGTCGGATCCGGGTTTATCTGACATTTTGGACAAGCAAAAAAACCAACAAGAAGTACCACGGGGATACCATCTACGCCAAGGTACCCTGTTATTCAATGATCGCTTTGTCATTCCGGCTAATTCGGGCATTATTTCGGTAATATTACGTGAGTTCCATGACGGTCCGATGGGTGGTCATGCCGGGTTACTCAAAACTCTCAAGCGCGTGCAATCAATTTTCTATTGGGAGGGTATGAAGGCATCAGTGCAGAAATATGTGGCAAAGTGTTTGACTTGTCAACAACAAAAGTACTCTACGTTGGCTCCAGCAGGTTTGTTACAACCTTTACCTATTCCTGAACGTATTTGGGATGATGTGGCTATGGATTTTATTGAGGGGCTGCCACGTTCAATGGGTTTCGACACGATCTTGGTGGTTGTAGATCGCCTGAGTAAATATAGCCACTTTATGGGGTTGCGTCACCCCTTTACTGCGGTACAAGTGGCTGATAAATTTGTTAGAGAAGTGGTAAGGCTACATGGGTTTCCTCGTTCGATCGTCTCCGACCGTGACAAGATCTTCCTCAGTCACTTTTGGAAGGAACTGTTTCCGACCATGTTAGTTTTCAAGTGTCCAACTAACAAAATTATGTTTGTAATGCTCGGGACAAAGACCAATCCAGAAGCTATACCCTGGCTTGCTCCTTATGTTGTTTCTTGTATCAATATGGAAATGTACAGAATTATCATGACATTCAGTATTCGAACTTTTACATACTATGAATTGGTAAGTAGCATTAGGTGATAAATACCGATATCTTATCGGCTATCTTTTCTCTCTCGGAATCAGATAAGAATCGAAAAGCGTTTCCTTCAGTGAGATTAGGTTCAGTGGATCTCCATCTCCAGTGCGATAGCTTTAGCAGTTTCGAGGTTATCGTGAGTTACCATTCGAACATGAAAGTCAACAGTTAATCACTTAATTGCCATAAGATTTGCCCACAGGTTGATGGAAAAAACAGAAATATCAGACAAAACACGTGAATGTGTATAACCAAAATGAGATACCCTAAAACCAAATTGTTAAAATCATGCTTTGCATGGCATCTAGTTTAAAGTAAGAGAAGTTAAGGACAAACAATTTTGAAAGAAGAAAACTTAATTCAACAAAAAAATTATACTTTGCTCTAACACATTCTATAAAAACAAAGCAATAATGCAATCTTTAGTACTCTCCATATAAAAAAACAACGTGCAGAAAAAAAGTATTTGTTAGCTTTTTTACTTTTATACCGACTATAGCTGGCAAACAGAGGTCATCCCCTGGGAGTACCCACTTTAAGAGCTCATCGCTTGTTGGGATTTTGTCAACCTCATAGGTTTATGGTAATGCTACGCATTGTAAAGTTCTTGCTCCCTTGTCTTCCATAACCTTTTTAAAATAAGAAGCCCGCAACCAGACAATTACATGTACACTTTAATCTCAACCAGACCATGCAGTAAACATATGCAGGAACTTACTTTACATGTAATGGAAAAGCACAACAAAACTATCGACACAAGTTACTCAAAAGTGTTGTGAACCCCACAAAACCAAGGATAGTGATCAAGGTGAAAGACTGATGACAATGAAAACCATGAAGGTGTTAGGTTCTCACAAACCTCATCTTCAATCTGTCACATTACTACTTTCGTCCACAAAGCCTTTGTGTGAAGCCAAAACGATTTCACAAGCTCTTTTCCAATGAATATGAACTTGGACATCAGGTTGAAAATAAGCAAGGAGAAGAGAAGAATTGGTCATAAGCCATTATTTTTCTTCAACAACCAGAAAAAACTGAAAGTAGAACATCTGGAGGAAACAGAGACAATTCTTGCACAGCTCTCATATGAAATACGTAGACAATCAATCGATGCATGTTACAGAGACAGTTTACAACAATATGTTTTTTTGGTAAGAACTAAAAGGTGTGAAGGTATTCCAAAATTATATAGACACGAAGATAAACAATGTACTTCTTGCATAAACAGGAAAACGTACCGGATCAGAACAGCCAAGAAGACAGCAAGAGCACTCACAGACCAACAATACCAATCAAAACCACCACTCCATTTAGCCAAACCTGACTGAGAC